TACAATCAAAATACATGTTGACAATTACCACTGTAAGAATGTTTTCATTAATACACAACAAAACAAAATTGACAACAGCATCGCTCACAAGCACCTACCACCAGCTTGGGAGTATTTTCCTTTGCTGAGGCATGCGCTGTGCAGCAATTTGGAACCTTAACCTTTGCGTTTGTGTGGGCGCCCCATCAAAAAACCTGTCCATGATGTTAGCAGTGTCCAAGCATTTTTTTTTCCTTTTCACACCCCCCCTGAAATGGCTCTGCACCCCCCTAGGGGGCGGGCCCCAAACTTTGGGAACCTCTGTAGTAGGTGAAGTCCTGCCTCCACCTGATTATGTAATTTACCAGCAGACAGATGCTTTTATATAAACTATAACTTCTATAATTGCAGTGTTTGTGTTTAGAGCTGGGAGCAGAATCGCTGATGATTTATTATCAGCAGTTATTACTGTAAGGTCTGCCTCACGCTATAACACGTCTTGATGTGACTGTTGCTAAATAAAATTGAACTGGTTTTTATTTAGGAACAGGCAGAGCGTCCCCACAACCTCGCGCACTAAATCACCCAAACACAGCACACATCCTGCCAGTGGTTCAGCTCCTTATAAAACACTGAATAAGGTTCGGACGTCATCGATCACGTGACTCTGTTCAGCATGCCTCGGCCCAGTGTTTCTGAAGCTGTGCGACTCTTTGACGCGTGCCGGAGCTTCAGCTTGAAACACAGGTCACAGGTCAGAGGTCAAAGGTCACAGCGAGGCTTTGAAACCATCTGACTCCATCTCCACAGGAACACCTGCTGTTTGTCAAACAGGAGAACTTTCCTCCAGAAAACTCACAGCTCACATCGTTTTTATCCAATGGATACATTTAATTATTTTTTTTTTACATCATATAGCTGCAGCCTCACACATGATCAGTGACTACAACAGCCTCCACCATCAGGTGTGTGTGTCAGGAACCACACAGGCTGCACATTATAGTATCACACTGTTGTACATCGGCTGTTGACAATTAAATACATGAACACGAGCGACGAGAACACAGCAAATTAACTTCCAAACAGGAAACAAACCCAAAAACTACAAAAAGAAAAACAGAGAAAGCAGAAATATTAGAAAACTATATGATTGAATGTGCTTGATGTAAATTCTGCATTACAAATAGTTTTGCTTCACATAAATATAGACTGATTCTGCGTCCAGTTGATGTCACTGCACTCAAATCGACACGTATCAAAAGTGTTCGGGGGCGGAGCTCGAAGAAGGAGAGAAGCCGCCGCTTCCTCCTTAAGACCTCGACCACAACAAAACATGAAAAAATAAAGTGGAAATATCCAAAGTTCAAAATGAAACTGTCAAAACTGCATATCAAGCAGAAAAAATATTGCATATAACCTATCCCCACAGCCACTTAAATATCGTCTTTGCACTTTCTTACATGTATATATAATATACAAACCCTCCAGGTCGCTCAGGAAATCCCATCACAGCAGGCAGAAATAATTTAAGACAGAAAACCGGAAAACTGAACAACCTCACGGGAAGAGTTTTGCACACAGCATCGTGTCACAGACATTACTGCCACGTCCTGATAACTTGCGGATCAACTGAAAGAACATTTGAAATTAGCAGCAATGAAAAGCGAACACTGTCACAGATCCAGGAAGCTGCTGTCAGTGAGGAAAGAAGCTCCGACTCTCCTGTTTCTAACGTGCTCAGCAGCCCTCCGTTCTTCAAGTCCTTTAGAAAGCAGATGTGGATGTGCTGCTGCAGACGGCAGCGCTGGGACACACAGTAGTGTTGTTCTACGGGTGAATCTGAACATCTCGGATCCGGATTTCCTTTCAGATTTCCACACCGATGGAAAAATGAAGCAAAGCTCGGTGTTCTCTCCTCTCTTCTTTCTGGAGACTGAAGAGGTAGTTTCACATTCACAAAGGGATATGGATGATGGCTTGGAGACATAAATATCAACACTTCGAATGATTAAAAAAACACCACTGAAAGCTCAACGTTGTGATTTTGCACTAAATTTGAAAACAAGGTTTCAAAACCTTTTAACTTGAGTCGGCTCTCGATGGCAGAGACGTTTTATTGACGGTACGGACACAGGTAAAGCTCAGCTCTCTATTTAGGACTCCAGAGGAGCCAAACGTTTGATCTCTATTTTCACAATCAGGCGTAGTACACGTGAAGATCCTGCACAGCAGAGAAGAGACGGGTCTGCTGCAGAGACGCTCCAAGTCCAACAGGACCGAACTGAGGAAGTGCAGTGGGATTAAAGCTGGAAACCCTCCATGGGTCCTTCCTGTTGCTGGAAGACAAACTGGCCTTGATTCTGATCCACCTGTGGAGCCAGGCTGGCGTCCTCTTCCTCCACACCGAAGTAGTGTTCGATCAGGTC